TTTCAAATTGTCACCGCAGCCACTGAATCATTGAGGGGAAAGGTGCTCAGTGCGTATCAACTATCAAACCTAATCATACTAGGATGCCGATCAAGCTACACATGCAACTAGGATATGCGAGTGGCATAAATAAACGGAGCCAATAAGAAGGTGTGCGAATAAAGAAGAGGCAGTTGAAACATGGAACATGGAACGTGAAAGGAGTAAAAGCAAAAAAGAAAAAAAAGTAGTATATTGTACATTAAGAGGAGCATATATAGAAGTGGAATAAAGATGTGATGATGTGAGCAGAATATGGATGCGTATCATCGAGACAGCCAAGGGATCAGTTGGTTCATAGTAAGCAAGTATTGTTCAGGATCGATAGGACTGAACAAAAAGTAATGTGATTGGTTTTCCATGGGCCCAACTGTTTTGTTTTTACCAAGAACAAGGCTAAGTGTTGCAATGGCACGCCCATATATAGAACTTCCTTTTCCATTTGCGTGTACATAAACTCTTGCATATTCACTGAAGATACACTTGCCTTTTGTTAAAAAATCAAGAGACAGGTGGAGTTCAGTAAAACGATGGACACACTAACAGTCCAGGAATTACCTACCGAATTATGTAAGGATCACTGAAATTTTATTTTATTTTTTTGCGGGATAGGATCACTGAACGTTGTCCGATCATAAGGTGCATGGAGTTTTTTATCACTGAACTTTGTCTGATTGTAAGGTGCACGGGTTTGTAAAATATATTGAATCAGCTCTTTCACAAAATACTCCGTCTCTGGTCGTGAGGTTTGATCTTGAATTTCTGATAACCATTATTATTGTGTTGATAATGGTAGAAGTGAACATGAACAAGCGCATCTAAATCACGATAGGAACTACTCCCTCTGTCCGAAAAAAAAAACTTGTCCCAAGCTTGTCCCTCAAATGGATGTATCTAGCACTAATTCCCAATTAGTGCTAGATACATCCATTTGAGGGACAAACTTTTTCGGACAGAGTGAGTACTTCTTACAGGAAACATATCTTACGGAACAGCAACCACTTTAGTTTATGGAACTTGAAGAACAGGTGGAAATCTACGCCCTTGTGTGTGTTCCAGTACCGTCCATGGAGCTTCTAGAAACGCAATAACTTGACAAAATGTAACACCGGAATTTGGTTTTCCGGGTCCTACAGTAAGGAAACACATGCATTTGACAAAATGATATTTTTCCTATGAAGTCCCAAACCATGTTGTATTTCTTGAAGTTAGTAGGGATATAGAGCTATATATTGGACCCATATGATCTCTGTCGGACAAACTCTGTGCTCTGTGAATCGAAATCATACGAAGTTTCTTTGAGAATGTTGAAAGTTAATTTGAAACTAAAGAGAGTAATCTAGTTAGTCCCTATCTCCCAGATCACTCTCTTAATTAGCTTCACATGGAGGTTCAGAGATCGAGAATAAAATTAGAATCTTACGCACACACGAAACACTCCACGATTGTCTAGTTCATCAGACATGACCCATAGACATTTTCCAGGGCGGAGACGATAGGTTTTGAAGTGTCCCACGTGTCTTAGCTCTAATGTGAAGCTGGGCATACATGAGTCCTACTAGGCTGTAGAAGGAAAGGGAGCACCACCCATGTCGGGTCTCAAGAGAAGCCACAGCATCACCTTCTGCATCCTAATACCTCCCATGCCGAAAGGTCAACAAACTAGTGAGTATTGGACGTACTAGGTTCACAGATTTTTTTTCCTACTAATGAGAAGGAGAAGAGGAAGGAGATTCAGACCTCAACGTTATTATAACAGATATGTGTATGTATGTGAGTAGAAGAAGTAGCATTAGATAGAGCAAAAAAAGAGTGTGAAGATTAGATATAGGGTGGTTGGAGTAAATTATGGGAAGGTAGAAGGACCATCCATGAAGCCATCTTGTGCGAACCTTCGTATATAAGTACTGGTGAATCGGGATGTTCTCGTGCTGCGTTATCGTAGCCCAAGTGCGCAACCTACTTGGGCTAATCCTAATTTCCTTTTCTTAGCTTTGAGAGAATATACTGAGTTAAGATGATAACACGAGATTCAATGTTCTATACTTGGATTGGGTGTAGTGACAATGTGTCTACAATAGAAGGTTGTTTTATCATCTCCATTTGCAAGTCTACACTAGAAGTTTGTACTGTGGTGCAGCCTGATAAATTCTTTAGCACTAGACGATGCCCCGCACGTTGTTGCGGGAATATTTTGAAATACATTTCTAAGATATTAATAATTTTATGGAAATAAGAATATTCGGAGAAATAATATGTGAGCTAAAACTAAAAATACATATTGTTATTTGTGTTAGATTATTGTATTTTTGCAAAATATTTACTAAATATATCATGCATGTTTGCATGTTGAAGTTAATCTTTTCCTATGACTCATTGAATGTTGACGTGGGTCTTTTCTAATGCATGTTGCTTGATAAGGTGTCATGCTTGCATGTTGAGAGAAATAGGTTAGTGGGGGCTAGCTATTTAGATATAGAAGATTAGCATTTAAAACTAGTTACTGCTATAAACTACGAGGGCCACCGGTTGAATCATCACGTGCATAGTATATATACACGCCACTGATGAACGAGAAACTCATCCACCAAAACACAAATAAATTTCAGAAATCCCTAGTTGTCATGCCAAAGAAAGCTACACAGTCTCGCAGTCACCGGGGAGTTGGATTGTTGCGTCACGGATCTGACACCTACGTCACTACTTCAAACTTAAGACCCTTGTCATTGGCAGCGTCAATGGAGACCGAGGAGCCTTCACAGATTCGTCCGCTGACCAGCATCTCGGAGAGATCAGTCATCACATTCTTCAGCAACCACCTCTTTACAGACCTTGCGCCATACATCCGCGGGTGCGGGACAAATTAAGCATGGATGGTTACCAAAATATAAACGTTGTTACCTTAAACATGAGACTAATATTGCCTCAGGTTTGAAAGGAAGCTGTGCTTACTGGGTTGTAAGATTCCGACAAAACCACGTCCAGCGCGGCATCACTCGCACATAGAGAGATGCCCCTGCTAGCTATGCTGGCGACAATGCTCTTCATCTGGATTTTCACAATCTCCTTAAGATTGTCGTGCGACAGCGGCTCAAATATCACAATCTCACTCATTCTGTTGCGAAGCTCGGGTTTGAAGTGTTTCTGAACCTGCAAGAACAAATGTACATGGCATTAAGCATGTTTCTACTGGTGACTTCACAACAGCAGTCTCTTGTATACACAAACCTGTTGCATCACAAGGTCCCGTGCAGCTTCCATTGTGATTTTTCCATCCATTCCTGCTGTTAGGTGCTCCCCTCCTAGATTTGAAGTCATAATGATGATGGTGTTCTTGAAATTTACGGTCCGGCCTTTCCCATCTATCAACACACCATCATCCAGAAGTTGAATAAAAAGGTTCAACACCGATGGATCTGCCTTCTCCACTTCATCAAAAAGGATAACACTGTATGGACGTCTCCTGATTTTCTCCGTCAATTGTCCACCGTCTTCATGGCCTTTATAGCTTTAAGAAGGAACAAATAAAGCAATTAAGATCAGTGAAATTAAAGTATGATATGAGAAAGTAATGCATGTTCAAAAAGATATACAAATTAAACCTTGGAGGTGCTCCGATGAGACGCAGCACGGATCCCCTGTCAACATATTCAGACATGTCAAAGCGAACTAACATCTTCTCGCTGTCAAATAACTGCACAGCAAGAGCTTTTGCAAGCTCTGTCTTTCCAACACCAGTCGAGCCTAAGAAGAGAAAAGAGCCTATGGGTTGGCCAGGCTGATCAAAGCCGGCTCTGGAACGTAACACTGCTTGTGCAACCAGATTTACAGCTTCATCCTGGCCAACAACTCGCTCCCGCAGTCTGCTCGCTAGGTGGATTAGTCTGTCCTTCTCCTCTTGGTCAAGCGCAGTGACAGGAATTCCAGTCCATTGGCTCACAACCTTCAAATAACAATGTTAAAATCTGCATAACAAGCATATCTCGTCGATCAAAACATTACAAAACTGTCATTAGGAAGAGAATGCCTACTTGTGCGACATGATTAGGGCAAACAATTGCCTCCTTCACTGCATTTTTAGAGCTACTGTGCAGAGTGATCACATTCTCTTCTTGATCACCAACTGGCATCATTGTTTTGGCTGCTGTGGCACCAGCCTCATCAATGAGGTCAATTGCCTTATCAGGAAATGGACGACCTACAGTAGACATCAATTAACTCCAACATATATACATTCTTGCCAATCATGGGAGCAAGTCGGCAGAAAGATAGCACCTGCTCCATTAATTGATGCATCTGACACTATCATGAATTTGTTCAATACCGTATACATGATTTATACATTAGTTAAGCCAAACAAAACTGAATGTACAGGTTGCAACATGGGTTAGCATGTGAGCTAGTGGACCTTAACAAGAATGAACATCTGACGATAACCAATTAAAGATCATATATAACCCTCTTTCTTCCCTTCATGTTTCATTAGATTTCCTATAATAAACTAGATGAGTTCATGCATCTACTAATCACCTCTGGAAACAAAAGGAATAAACGACGCGTTTGGTTGAAGCTCAGGTAATGTATTCACTGTTGTAATGAGCATACACTGTAATAGATTGGGGCTACGTGATTACATGATGTGTTTGGTTCACGTAAAGGAATAGGAAGACCGTGGAGTACCGTCGCCAGCCTTGTAGACTATGCCGGAGGACCGGACGACGGACGATGGCTGGGATGGCCCTTGACGGAAAATGAGATCGCCAGCCGTTCAGAACAACGCCGCTGCTCACGGCAGCGAAGCGACATCAGCGGCGCTGCCCATGACGTCGGCGAAGCGAGATCGGCGGCGGTACCCACGACGACCGCGGCGGCGAATGGAGATCAGCGGCGCCCACGGCAGAGGCAACTGGAGATCGCCGGCGCTTGGCGGTGGAGGCGACTGGAGATCGGCGGCGCTCAGCGGCGGAGGTGACTGGAGATCCGCGACGCTTAGCGGCGGTGAATTGATACGGCGATGGTACTGCAAGTCGCTGCTTCTTGGTCCTCACGCGGAAGAAAACGATCAGGACGAGCGTCGTTATTCCATACCAGGCTGTATCGGGTGTTTTCGATTTTGTGAAGGACGGTTTACAATTACACGGGAGCTGAAACCGACGCTGCCGAAACAAACGCTGGTAACGTAATCGTGATCCATGTATTCGGGAGACAGCAAAAATGGCACGAACCAAACGCGTCGAAAATTAATTCCTCACCCGTGATGTAACGGCCAGCGAGCTGCACGGCAGCAACAAGAGCGGCATCTTGGGTTTCTAAGCCGTGGTGCTGTTCATACTGCTGCTTTAGCGCCCGCAGCATGGCAATGGTGGCCTGCGCGCTAGGCTCCTCAACGTGCACCTTCTGGAACCGCCGCTCGAGTGCGGCATCCTTCTCAATGTACTTACGGTAATCATCAAAAGTCGTCGCACCCACACAACGGATACGACCACGGGCCAACGCTGGCTTGAGCATATTGGCAGCGTCCTGGCATCCCCCCATCCCATCACCGGCACCAAGAAGCATGTGCATCTGTCGATGAAGAGAACTATCTTGCCACCTGAGTCCTCCGCCTATTTTATCACGCTTTTTATGCCTTCCTCGAACATGCCACGGAACACAGTCCCAGAAACCATCGCCGTGAGATCAACCTCCACGACGCGTGCCCCGGCGAGTGCCGCAGGGACCTTCCCGGCAGCGATGCGCTGTGCAAGGCCCTCGGCGATGGCCGTCTTGCCAACTCCTGCAGCACCGACCAGCGCGGCACAGTTCTTGGTCTTGCGGCAGAGGATGGAGACAACACGGTCTATCTCGCTGTCCCGGCCGACCACCGGGCTGGCTGCCTGCTTGCTGCCGGTCATGTCAGAGTGTTTGACAAAAAACTATCATTTTAGGGGTTCGCGTCCCACATAACTACCACTTAAAAAAAAGTGACCGAAAACTACCAAATTTTCTTAATTTTGTGACTAAAAACTATCACTTTCAGATAATGACCAGTTTAGACGATTTAAACATGTTGACTGTTCAGTTGACCATTATTACAGTTGGGACCCACACGTCATTCTTCTTCCTCCTCTCTTTATCTTTCCTTGCCATTTTCACAAACAGCTTTTGTGCATCCCGGCTCCCCGGCGGTCATCGCAGGAGGCGAGAGGGAGGCCGGAGCCTCCAGCTCGAAGGGAGGCCACCATCGCGAGCCCTTGCTGCTGGGCGAGACTGCTGCTGCCCGAATTCTGCGCCGTCGGGCACGCGGAGGATGAAGAGGAGGTGGCACGACGCAGGCAGGGCAGGTCGACTACGAGGGAGCCGTCGACCAGATCGGAGCGGAGGTCGAAGACGAGCTCCTCCGTCTCGAGCCGCGCGGCGGCGCGGGGCAGCGAGTTGATGTGGGCGGGCCGTGAGGGCGCACCACCGACGCCAGATGAGGCCGGTGCCCGCGGCGGCCCGGGCGCAGCGGAAGCGGGCAAGGATGAGGAGCAGGTCGTCGGGGAGGGCCCTAATGCGGTCCGGTGGTCGTAGCCGGGTGGAACGCCGGCAAAACTCCATTGACGCCCCAGATCTCGGGGATAGGCAAGGCGAGCGGCGTCCGCTCTCCTGTGAAGTTGACTTTGATGCCATGTTAGCACTGACAGATGGGCCCTGCCTTTCATAAACACGCTTAAATAGTCTAAACTAGTCATTATTTAAAAATGGTAGTTTTTAGTCACAAAATTAGAAAATTTTGGTAGTTTTCGTTCATTTTTTTAAAGTGGTAGTTCTGTAGGACGCAAACCTCTAAAATGATAGTTTTTTGTCAAAACACTCGTCATGTCACGGCCGTAGCTGCGCAGGCACGAGTTGCGCTCGTAGTACCTCCAAGCTGCCCAGCACAAACCGAAGGCTGCTCCAACACAGAGAGCGCTCTCCACCCCTCGGAACAACATAGACGCATGTGACAGGAGCCCATCCAAGACCGCACTTGTCGGAGTTTCTCCATCGGACACCATAACCCAGGTCCCAAGCCGAGAATCGTAGATTGCAGTCGCCTCCATACGGTGATGGTGATGAATGAAAAGACCTAACCTGAGCAACGAAGATACACTGCAATAATATTTCAACCTATGCATATATATTGCAGAAGTATCGGACTTCAAATTGTATTACAATGGCGGAGTTGTAACAAAATTTCTTGTTCTGTCTTGCTTTGGAAACCTGAGTTGTGATCAAAATTTGGATTTTTAGGGAGTGTTCAAATTTTGTCTGTTGAGAGGCAAGATTCCAAGATTAACCGGGGCGAACTATTTACTTACACAAATATTCACTCTCCTCTTGATTAATCAGCAAAACTGGGATTTGAGGGGCGAATTTTGTTTTTACCAGAGTCGTGGGCGAAGTTACTCCACTCCTCCAGGCCGCCGCCGCCCGCTCCTCAGTGCCCGCCGCTCCGCCGCTCCACCAAGAGCTCTCGTCAGGTTCACTCCAGCTGGCGCCTCTCCACCCCTCGCTTCTCCTCTGCTTTCCAGGAGCGAGCTGCCCTACCTCCGGCGGCGGCAGCTTGAGCTCCAATCCTCCAGCGCGGTCTCGTCACCACCTACAACTGGGCCCCAAGGCTTTCTACCGCGGTCAGCTAGATGGTCCAACTGCGGAGTTCAGCCCACAAACCCGATTCTAAGAGGTTAGTAAGCCACAAGGAGCAGCCCATAATTGATCGGCCAGCAGTGGCCACAGGCATCCATAGCTTTTTCTTCTTCTTCTTCCCTTTTTCACATTTTTTCTTTTATTTTTTACTTTTTTACTTTTACTTATATATCGAAATAATTTAAATATATATTAATAAAAATAAACTTACATTCTGTATTTACAAATTTTAATCATGCATTTTAAAAATGTTAAAGGTGTAGAAAAATTGTTATGATGTATAAAACAATGTACAGTATGTAAGAAAATATATATATAATATTAAACGTTTATTTAGAAAATGATACATTTATATAAGAAAAATGTTCCTGGCATATACAAAAAAATAGACATAAAAATGCATTTAAGAGAATGTTAATCATGTATTTAAAAATGTTACACATGTGTATAAAAAGCTGTTAATGATGTATAAAAGTGTACAATGTGTATAATAAAGTAGCCAAAAAATATGTTTTTCAAAATTTAATCATGTGATAGAAAAATGTTTTTTTCGAGAGTACGCAAATTGCGTACCATAGCTTTATAGAAGAAGAGAGAAATACAAATACAAGATGACTACAACTCGCTGCGAACAACAAGTGTAGCATGAACTCCACATCCGGCTAGTCCAAAGACAGCCACCTACGACAACACCACTACAACGCAAAGGAACTTGCCCAAAACAGAAAAACCTCGCCGCGTCTCAGTTGATGCCAGCCACCTCCGAAGAACTGCAACTCCCACCGAGCATCCCTTGCCGATGCACCATCCACCCTTAATGCCTAAAGGAGATGGCAGGAGAATGGCGGGACCGATCAGACCCGAGAAAGGTATCGTCTTGGAATCACTAGCGACGACCGTACATTGCGTCGCGGATGATCGATTATGAACAGTGGCGAGCGCCGGAGGAGCGCAACGAAGAACCTCCAACCCGTGTCTCCAGACACAATGCTCCCACCAGAGGGACGACGTCGAGGACGCCGCCATCGTGCCGATCCTGCACCGAATCAAGGCTTTCACCCGGAGACAACTACCAACACCAAGCGAGCGAGGGGATGTCGACGCACCTGGACGATGCCTCCAAGGAGGGGTAAGACACCCACGGGTGCCATCGCCGCCGGCCCAGCAAAACCGGACAAGATTTTCATCCGTAACGCCGCACATCGCCCCACCTCCAAGGTTTGGGGCAAGCAGAGAGGAATGCGGCCCCAACATCCACCACCAACCTCAGCCAGCAGCCTCCCGACACCTCGGCCATGGATCAGGGTCATCACCGTGGTCGCCACCCGCTCCAGGGGACATCCACGCAATGACCCCATCCCCTTCGGCCCAGATCAAATCCGGAAAGATCCAGATCTGACCCTCCTCTCCAATCACCGCTCCAGCGCCAACACCACCTGGCGGACACCACACCAGCCCCGACGCGGAGGAGGCCGAACGCCCGCTGCTCGTCAGGAGCTCCTTCCCGACAGAGCTTCCACAACGCCGCCGCCTCCGAAGCCGAGATCCAGCGCCATCGCCTCCAGGCAGCGCCGACGTGCCACCCAGCTCCACCGCCCCTGCTGCCTCCCCATCGACTCCGCCGCTCCTCCAAGAGCCACTCCGCCTACCGGAGAAGCCCGCCGCATCCTCGCACCGCCGACCATCCACCACCATCGCATCCCCAGGGACGACCCGCCTCCGCGTGAAGGGGCTCGTCAGGGAGCGCCGCCCTCGCCCACCGTCTTCGACGGCCAAGCGTGGCCGCCACCGCCGGCGCCGGCAGCGGCCGGGGAAGGGAGATCAGGTGCCTCTGGTTTCCTAGGGTTAGGGGCGCCTCCGGAGCCACACGCGCGTGCGACCCGGGAGGAGGAAGGAGCGCTGGGTCTTAGGAAAACGTCATTGTTGTCGTCCTGATAGAAAAATGTTAAATGTTTGTATAAAAATGTCCCTGTTGTATACAAAAAATGTATACTATGTAATAAAAATCGTAGACATAAAAAACATATATGTTTAAAAACATGTTAATCATGTATTTCAAAAGAATGTTCAACGTGTAAACTAAAAATGTTTCATGTATTTTGAAAAAATGTTAACTACGTATAAAATATATATTCATGTTTTATACGAAAAGGGAAAGAAAAAAACAATGGAAACCAAAAAGAGATGAGGGCTTCTAAAAGATCCGCCGTCTCGCGAGCCATCGGATATGACAAAATCAATCAGCTGAACGTCTCTCTCTTCTTTGCAACAATGATCTTGTCATGGAAACAGTTGTAACCGAGATTGTGTTGTGGAGTTTTATGCAGCATAGGTTGTGTTGCGGGAATATATGTTTTGCAACATAGGTTGTGTTGCAGAAAAAAAAATCATGTCTTCACTTTTTTTGCAACAATGGTATTGTTGTAGAAACTTTTTGCAACCGAGGTGATTGCAGATTTTTTTCTTGGTCTTCACCTCTATATGGTGTTACGGAAGAAAGTTTTGCAACATCACTGATGTTTCTGCGACAAACTGGATGTTGCAAAACAAAACTAGGGATGGCGGTTTTGCCCATGGGTATGGGTATCCGCAGGTACCCTACCCGAAAACAATGGGCATGGGCATGACTTTAAAAGATTTTGTACCCACGGGTAATGGGTATCCATACCTACAAAATCTATGGGTAGGGCATGGGTATTAACTTGCACCCATGGGTAACCCAATGGATACCCAAAAATTTAATAAATCAGAATTATTCCTATGACATGTGGGGTAAGTATCTAACTGATATGGCCCAACCCTAAATCTTGTATTCCCTAAACCGGCCATAGGTCATAGGCCCACAATCACCTTCTCAACACTCCTCTGACGTCCTATTTGACTTCTTGAAATGATGAAATCTTGACTCATCGCCATCGGACTCCTCTGAACTATCGATCCAGTGACCCTAGTTCCAACTTCTCATTCCCACTAGGCCGGGCTTCCACCAATCGCTGCCCATACTCCCTTGATACCTCCAAGAACCCACCCATCGGAAGAGGCTATGTTGGTGCTATAATGCTCGGCCATATGGCCATATCACTTGAATTTTAGACTCATTTCTCTATTTTTTCAAATTTAAATGCTATATATGTTATCCAACGGATACCCATTGGGTACAGGATACCTGATGGGTATGGGCGTGGGTATCAATTTATGCCCATGGGTATTAAAGTGGGTGGGTATAGAAAGTTCCTGTGGGTATGGGTTTGGGCAGAAGGAGGTTGTACCCGCCCATACCCTACCCATTGCCATCCCTAAACAAAACGCCACCTTCGTTCACCGTAAGCCTGCTGGATTGTGGTGAGGGAGGAGCGGCGCTGCCCGCCCCCGCCATCGCGTTGCCGCCGGCGAGCCCTGAACCCCTGACCAGGTCGCCTCACCGCCATCCTCCTCTTTGACAAGGTGGACGACATTGATTGCCGCTGAGGCACTTGCGTATAGAAGAGAGATTGGGTAAGAGATAAGACTAGGGAGAGAGATGTGTGTGGTCCAGTAGGCCACGTGTCTATCAAGAGAGGCGGCGAACGTCGTGCTATATCCGTCGGTTGAGTGATAGCCTTTTCCAAAAGAGAAACAAAGAAAATCAAAAAGGTACAATGGAAATGGAAAGAAAATAAAAAGGAAAAAACAAAGAAACCAATAAAAGGAATGGTTGCGAAATTCAAGAAAGAACAAATAAAAACTAAAACATTAAGACACAAAGAAAAGAAAAGGAAAAAAAGTGGGAACCAGGAAGAAACAAGAAAAACAAAGGAAAAACGAGTGAAAACTATGTAAGAAACAAAGAAAACCAACAAAAAAAGAAACAAAAAACTAAAGAAAACCAGTGAAGAAACAGGAAAAGAAAGAAAAAAGCAAAAGGAAAAAAGGAAAAGGAAAAAAGGGAAAAAAAACTAGAAGAAACGAGCGAGAACATGAGCCTCGATCGGAACATACTTTTTTGCGGAAAAAAAGGAAGACACTGGTTAGTTGACCAACTGACTTTGAAAGAAAACATGAATAAAAAATAACTTAAACAAGGTTCACAACATTTGAAAAAGTTCATTAATTTTAATCATATAATCATAGATTCGTTGGCTAGTCATTGTATAGAAGTTTACTACTAAATCACAATATTGTCTAGAAGTTACAATGTCATAAAATCATCCTTGCAGATTGTGGAAGAGTGAACTTCTAGGCAATATGTGTGTAAGTTTTTATCATCATTCGATTTGATTTTTTTCTCTTCATTTCCTTTTTAAGGTAATATCAATGCCCTTGATTTATTCTACCTTAAGCGAGTCACATCGTAATTTTATAGATTATATTGCAAGTTGTATGTGGTTTATTTCTACCCATCTCTACATTCTTGAATGTTAAAGTTAACTAGAGGATACCATGCTTGTTGCTGCGATAATTGATTAATAAAAATTTGGGTTGATAACGTAAGAACCAAATTTAAAGTACATATGACTTACTATATTTGATCATGTATAGTTGCAAAAATATTTATTGAATATAAGTAGAGTAATTTATAGAAAACATTTTTCCATACATGGTTAGATAGAGAAAAGCGTCATGCAAGCTTGCATGTGTAGATAGAGAAAAAAGTAGTAGCACGGAGGGAAAAGAAAAATGACTTATACCAAATAGAAAATTCAGGTGACTTACAAATAGACGAGCCATATAGTTAAGAACATGTGTATACGACTGTCCATATATATACTTCAGGGGAAAGGACTCCTATGATCTTCTAACCCAAAACAAATCAATGGGTCGATGAAGGTAATTAAGAATGTGAGAACCAAACAACATAATATCTGTTGGTTCCTCTCGGCTCCTTCCACTGCTCAGCAAAGTTACCCTACGTACCAACACACAAACAGCGTATCTGCACATGCATGCATGCACATATATATAGATGCTAGCCATGCATCTAGACTCTAGATACGTACGTATAGATCGAGAATCTCTAGAAGGCCTTGGCCTTGTAGTTGTGGTGGTGGTGGTAGCTGCACAGGTCCTGCAGCTTGTTCCACGACTCCTCCCTCTGCATCTTGAGCTGCTTGTAGAAGTTGCCGATGAACGCGTCGGCCTTCGCGTAAAGTTCCTGCTTGCTCATGAGATCATGGGAGGAGGCGTCTACCTTGCACCTTTTCCGCCCTTCCCCCGCCTGATTGTCTTGGAGCGTCGACGTCGCATCGACGATCTCGCCGGCGTCGTGGGGGTCCGCGCTCCCGATGAAGAAGATGCTCGCCCTGGACGGGACTTTCTTGATCTCCTCCTTCAGTTTCTTCGCCACGCTCAGCACCTCATTGATAGCACCGCGATCTGCAAGCAGATTTACCTCCCTAAGTCGTCCTGGCAAGGGTGCCGCCATGATCGGCGGCTGTGAAGTGACAAGGTGGTGATGGTGGTTGGGAATTACAGCAGCAGCGGCAGCGGCAGGAGGCTGGCCTGTTAGCTTGGTCCCGGTTGAGACGGAGAGGAAACCGGCCTCGACGCCAAGGGCGACGACGAGGGCGTTGAAGAGGAGGTAGAGATAAGGGGCCCTCAGAGAAGGAGGCACCATGGGTACGAGGATGAAGAGGAGGAGGAGCGCGGCTATCTTAGCCAGCTGGGGCAACCTGACATTCGTTTTTTCCATAGCACCTATTAGTTGGAGAAGAGGCTAGAACGTACTACGTGCTGTGGTATGGCAGCTAGCTAGGAGAGAAGGATCGGAGTAGTGTAGTATTGGCCTCTAGTTGGCCGTGTATTTATAGACTACACGACCGTGGTGGGTAGCTAGCTACCCTCCGTTCACACGAAAATTGCATTTGGAGGCCGAGCTTCGGGGTGGCCTCCATTTGCAACTTTTAAATTTCATATTTTTAGGTTTTAAAAAACAATTGAAAAAATACAGATATAAATGGAGGCATAATACACACGATGTGTAAATTTTCTGGATGAGATACATTGAAATGAGGTTGTTAAAAAATCTAGGACCTTTCAACATATGATATTATTTATTCTCAAAATCTGTGAATTTGGTTTTTACATGTCGCATGTCATGGTATTTCATCCTGATTTTTTACACACATATACATTTCATCCTTCTAACTCCGCCTATGTCTTCTAGGCATAGCCGGTCCCAAGCCCGGGTAAAGGAGGAGGGTTGTGATAAGCTTGGCGAGCCAACGTAAAAACTAGCCAGTCCCATAGGTATGAAACCCATTTGAGCGAGAATAGTACTAGGATGGGTGACCTCCTAGGAAGTCCTCGTGAAAGGGTTTCATATCTAAGGGTTGTGATAGGCTTGGCGAGCCAACGTAAAAACTAGCCAGTCTTTTGGGTATGAAACCCATTTGGACGAGAGTAGTACTAGGATGGGTGACCTCCTGGGAAGTCCTCGTGAAAGGGTTTCATATCTAGCCTACCCCAACTTGTTTGGGATAAAAGGCTTCGTAAGTAAGTAAGTAAGTATATACATTTCATCCTTCTACACTTGAATATATATTTTTAGATTTTCTTTCTGAAATTAAAAATTTTGAACTTTGAATTTTTTTTCAAAAATTCTGGGCTTCATCTAGCCCGGTCACCAAAACGCCCCACTCCCGTTCACAAATACAAGATGTCCTGCTAAACTTTTTCTAAATCGGATGTGTATAAACACATTTTATGTGACGTTCATTTATTTTAGTACATATATAGCTCATATTAAGATATTCAAAACATCTTATATTTGTGAACGGAGGGACTAGTAGACAACGAAGGGTCGGAGAAGATAAGCTCAAGGTGGTTTCTTGTGTAGGATCGAGAGCGAAAGGCTAAGCTTTTGCGTTGTTGCATCAACGGCGACATGAACAGATGCCATGTGAGCTACGCACAAAAGATCGACATGGCACTGGAGGTAGGAATAGTAGTACTCTTTCCGATCGGGCGACGGTGATGCGCGCGTGTTGTGGAGCCACGTAGGGCATGGCCGGTGGGATATTCCAGCCGGCCGGGCGCTTTCTCGTGAATCCTGATCGGGGGTGGGATTTCATTCGCTGCTAGTACATTTGTATTGCATTTGCATGTCGGCTAGCGCTCCCGCCTTGTACGTCATGTCCGTATGTTGACATGCATGGTCCCGTAAGTAACCTTTTTATCCTGCATTTACCTTTCACTCCTGCTTTGTTATCGCTACTTTACAACCATCTGTACGCGTGGATGGTGATGAAATAATGTGGCAAATATCGAGACGGCAACTGTAACAAGCGAACGTGCTCGCGGATGAGCCACCAACTTTATTCGGGTGAATATCTGGTGCTCCGGGAGAACCTAAGTTAAGCTCGGATGCTCCTGTGCAAGCTTGGCCGTTAGATCTTGATCCAGCGAACATTAAAGGAGCCCTTGGACCTACACCTAATTAAGGAACTCCTGGATGTTTATCTCTCTTTTTTTGCATTTTTTCCAAAGCACCTACAATGTCGGCGGGATGAAAATCCAACGGCCGAGCTCCCGCGGCAGCACCTGAGCTTAGGTGCTCCCGGAGCACCAGATATTTTCCCCACTCAAACTCCCATTCAAGGATTGGGATCAAGTAACCTCAAGCACGAGGGAATTGTAGATACTACACCGTAAATGTTGATTAGATCACTGACTCTCAGTCCAATGGCCGCAAAAGGTGGTTATGTCACTGGTACTCTCCATCGATGACTTTTCTCCCTATAAAGTTATTAGAACTCAACCTTCCTAACCTTAGGGTATGTTCAACATGGACTATATGCTACGTGTTTACCTTTTTATTTATCTTAATGTACAAATCGAGTTTGTCCTTATATTATTTGCTTCAATGTTGTCGTTTAGATACTTGAATTATCATCTTCGGCTTCAACCTCCATGATGAATGTTTTGGAGTGTTTCCGTGGTCAGCCCTCAGTCGACATGTCGACACGCTGGGTTTATGTGTCTTTTTACTGTAGTGTATGACAACGAGTGGGGACACGTGTTACTGGCACCATCACATTGTAACATGTCATTGTTCTTTATAGAACCACACTGGATTTTGTATTTTTAGCTTGTAAGAAATGTCATGTGTTCTACTACTTTCTGTGCTCAAAATTTGGTTCTTATTACTCCAATAAACTCCTAACTAAGACAACTTGACATCATTTAGGGGATGAGACAAATTATACCAAAATTGACGAAACAAAAGTAGTCAAGTTTTATTCTAAGCGAAACAAAAGTAGGTGAATGACCTTTCACATTTTTGTAACACAAGTAGGGGCTCGAAAGTCTCAGATGCTTCATTGATAGTCAAACCAGTGGTTCAGAGTATCAGTCACAAAAACCCTACCTGAAACAAATAATACAAACAAGTCCTTGCATTTTATGTAGAGGACCCAAGAAAGCAGATACACTGCAACTAGGTTCAAACCAACCTCCTTATTCTTTGAATGATAGAGAGGCCTCCCCCTCTGATTTTCATTAAAGAATACTATCCATTTTGGAACATCATTTTTAAACCCTAGTTAAGAAGTACTCGGCATTAAACCAACGACGAGGAAAAGAAAAGTATGGACCCAACGGTTCCCGTGCGACCTGGTGACCAGGGGGCGATTCCGCGGGCGACGGCGGGGGGAACCCCGTGGCGGCGGCGGAGGGATGGACGGTGGTGCGTCCTGCGGTGGGGCGCGCTCGGTGGTGCGTCTCGCCCGGCGGGCGGCCCCCTGGCCCGTTCCCTTCTGGAAGCAGGTTCTGGGCGCTCGGGGGTGGCGACTCCGACGACAAAGAGGAGGAGTCCGTTCATGTACATAGTCAGGTGAGTGATGGTGTTGCGCCGAGGCCGCCGACAACGTGCTCGGTGGGTGACTTTGTCGCCCGTGCGAAGGAGCTGGGGGGCTCTCTCATGGCCGGTCGCCGGCGCGCGTTCGCCCCTAGTGGGCATGGCGGGCGCCGCCTAGCGCCGCGGATCTGGCGACCGCCGAGGGGTGTGGATGCGGGCCCTGAGGGCCATTCGCGTGTCCTGCCGGAGGAGGGGCGCCTTGATCTGGTGTTGGCTGCACCGCCTCCGGGCTCGGTGAGCTCGCCGGCGTCGACAGGGGTCGGCGTCGGTGACGGGGCTGCTCCTGCCAGGGAGACGCGGACCCTGGCTAGGGTTTCGGCGCCGTCGTCGCCCGGGCCGGCTCCCTTGCTGGGCCTATTGGACTGGCCCAGCCTGCCAGTGCGTGGGCTGGGGGGCCCATTGGCCGACCCGTCCGTGTTTTCGCCAGTGGGGGCGTAGGGGTGCTCCTCAGTGCTTGGGGCTAGACAGCCTGGCCCGGTGGCCTTACGCCCGCAAGAGTTTAGGCCCGGGCCCAACGCGATGGTGGCTGCGCGGCCGCTTCCGCCTATTAATAGGTGGTTGTGGCTGCCAAAGGGTGCCCTAGATTTGTCGCTAGGGTTTCCCGCATCCCACTCGCAGGTGTGGCGATTCGGGCATCTCGCTCGTCGTCTGCTCCGCTCCGTCCCCCCCCCCTCACCTGCTCGTTCGCAACCGCGGTGCGGATGGGATCCCGCTGCGTGGAGAAGCCACCCATGTCGCCTCCGATCCCGGCGGCCGAGCGTCGGCGTGAGCAAGATCTGAGGGCAAAGGCGCTCTCCAAGGTGTCGGCGCCTCCGTCGGAGGAGGCGGGCTGGGGGCCGCCGCCTCCCTGGTGGCTCACGGAGCAAGAGAGGAAGAAGATGGAGGAGCGCGAGCGCAAAAAGAAGATGAAGGAGGAATATCGGCGCCGTGGCCTAGAGCAGAAGAAAGAGCTCAAGAGGAAGGAATCCCTCCTTCCTCCGAGCGGCGAGAGGGCTGGGGATCCACTCGCCAAGAAACAGAAGCAGAAGGGGGTCGGCTCGGCGCTGTCGCCGCTGGCGGCTGGGCCGTCGGCGTCGAAGGGTTCGGTCGATGCCCCGATCCCAGTGGAGGAGTCCGACGGGCCAGAGTGCTTCAAATGTGGTCGGGTGGGCCACTACAAGAACATGTGCCACTTCAAGCCCATGTGCATCGTCTGCCACGAGGAGGGGCACGCGTCGGCGAACTGCCCCACGCGCGGGCGGCCTTTGTTGCTGCAGATCATGGGCAACGCCATCCCCGGCGAGGGCTTCTTCTGCCTTCCCTACGTGGAGACGGAGGGCGAGGAGGTCCGTGCCCCGGTGGTGGCGGACGCGGCGTTCATCTCAGCGGCGCCCGACAAGCTGTCCATTCCCATCTTGGAGGCGGAGCTCCCTCACCTCTTCGAGGGGGAATGGGATTGGCAGGTGACGGCCGTCGGGGACGACATGTTCTCCGTCGTCTTCCCCAACAAGGCCATGCTGCGAATGGCGACGCGAAGCGGAAAACTCTACCTTTCCCTCAACGACATCATGGCGGAGATCAAGGAAGCGCTGCAGGAGGAGCCCAAGGCCGAAATCATGCCGGCTGTGTGGGTCAAGCTCTGGGGTGTGCCGCCCAAGCACCGTCGCGTTGATCGACTCATGGCAGGGACCGTGATGATTGGGCGCCCGATGGAGGTGGACAAGGCGTCGTTGGCGGGGCCGGGTCCCGTGCGGATGCGCTTTGCGTGTCGCTCCCCGGCCAAGCTCAAGGGGTACGTCCAAGTGTGGTTCAATAGCGAGGGTTTCACCATTCGGCTGGAGGCCGAGGCAGGTGGC